AGTTAGAAGCACATGACCTCTTCAGAAGTAAGGATTTTAATAATAGATCTTGATTCTTAAATGTGTGCTTTCTCAGTTCATGAGTAATGGGAACTCCCCTAGGTAAAATTTAAAAAAAAAAGCATTGACAGTAACTGTCTTTTCCTTTTTTGTTTATATTTGTTGAAGAGCTGCCCTGGTATCTGTTTAAAGACACATACTATAACAGTTGTATTTAACGTTGAAATATATTGTCATTGTGCTTTGCAGTTTTTCAATGATAAGTTATAGTTGTAGTTTTGCTTTCTGGGTTTTTTACGTAAGTGGAGATGCCTTCACCTCACGGGCTTTGCATGCAATGTATTGTACCTTTTGCAAATGCACTTTCGAAGTGCTGATCTCTAGTGGGGATTTTTTGCCTGTGTTGCCGTATTCTTCTTAGGTAAGCAGTCTCGTGAGTTCAGGTGGCCCACACGTGCTGGAAGACACCTTGGAGAGGTGCTGGTGGTATTCAGGAGAAGCATGACTGCTGTAGGGGTGAGGTGCACTCAGCTTTAACAAGTGCTAGAAAACATTCATGTCGTTAGAGCTGTCTAAAGCCAAGGGCAGTAGTCCTCAGTCATTAATGACTGAAACTACAATACATCTCTGACTCCGCATCAAGTCCACCTGTTCTGGAAGAGGTCATTGCCATGGTCATAAGTATATGGGACTAACTATCCGTTTACTCTCTCACCAATAATTGTGGCTGTTACTGGCCCTGGAATGGAAGGAAGAAAGGTAGCAGAGGAGGAAGAGGCAAGGCTGAAATTGCTCGAAACTCTCCATTATTTATGGAGTTGCTCTGCCTGTTAGGATTTTGAACTTGGGAAACACATACATCCTTCACTGGTGTGATCTTTTTTTTTCCCCTGATAGATAAGGACATGGCAGCTACTTCATTCTCTCCTCCTCATCAGACTCCCTGTGCAGAAGCTGGGGAATAGAAGAGGACACAGGGAAATAGTTGGCTGGTTTCCTTCCCTGCCTTGAAGGCTATTTTAAGGAAGGTGTAGTATCAAGCGGGATAAAACAGCAATACATTTATAAAGGGAGTGTTGGAGGTCTAAGAAGAGGTTAGTGTGTGAATGGGGATGTATTGGAATGAAATTACTATATACAGAATTTAGCATACAGTGAAAAGAATGGAACATCATCAGTGTTCTAGGTGAAAGTATTAACTTAGAGCTGAGGAAACAATCATGAAGAATGAGGAGAAGTAGTTACATAATTAGAAATTAAAAAATGAGATCTAGACTAGTAGCAACAAAGCGTTCCTCATGGAAACTACATGCAGATGATTCATTTCTTTTACATCTCTGAAGAAAATATGACAAATATTGTGCACCAGAAATCAAGGAAAAAACACATCAGTTGTCATTTGCACATGGAGAAAATCCTTTCTTACATTTATTCTTGCAGCTGAAATCTGGAGTTAGTTCAAGAGACTGTTTCAAGACTTTTCTTGATTTCTGTTGCTATAGTAAAATCTAGTTCTTGCTGCTAATGAAATTGGCAGCCAACTTCCTCCTAGAAAATGCATTATCCCACAAATGAACACGGGATTAACCCACTGATAAGTTACACCAAGGTATTTCTTTGGCCTTCCCTGCCCTTTGCTGAGTATGGATCAGAAGATCTGACAAAAGGAAAGGTATTCTCCTAGTAACAATCACTTCCACTCATGTTACAGAAAACTCAGAAGAGCAATACACCTACTTTCCTAGCAGTAAGCTCTTTTAAAAAGACTCATGCAATTTTCTCCACAATACTGACAATTCTAGTTGAATTAGTTAATATCCTGCCCATATTTTTCCACATCCCTGTTCTTCTACCAGTGAGAGACATTTCTACATTTAAAGTTCCTTTGGCATGGTATACAATCATGTCTGTCTCACTTGTTTTACTTGATGCCTGAATGTCAACTGAAGCTATTTATAAGGGATCCAAATATAAGTGTTATCCTGTTCATATTATACAAAATTTTCCTTGTCTAGTAACAGCATCTTTGGCAAGGACAGAGAAATGTAAGTCAAATTTAGCCAGTTTTTTATTATCTTAAATTCTTTCTCATCCAAGAGATTTGTATGGCTGCTCCACTGAATCCTCTACATAATGTTTCCTAAATCACCGTTGCCGATCCAAATTTTGCCTATCGTGGTGTAGAATTTATCTGTAAAGTGAACTAACCCAAAACTGTCATTCTCACCATTTTAAAAATATTTACTATTCCATTGGATTTAGATATATTTATTATTGTGTGTGTTGCACCTGTGTTTCTTAAGGTGAAAAATGTCAGGTTCTCAATGTTTTTCACAACCCACTTTTTCCTGTTTGATTCTGTTGCCCAGTGGGTTTGTAATTCTTCTCTTCTTTTTCTCCCAGCTGTCAGGATTGACTAGTTCTTTTTTTATCATCCTTTCCCCAGAGTTTGGGAATATTTTGTCTAGGCTATTCTGTAATTGTTTAACCCAATAAAGTATTGCTTGAATGTATTGCTAATCAGTAGACTCTCATCACTTATGGGTTAATCTGGTTTGGTGCTAGATCTTCCCTTCCTACAGAAAACCCACCAGAAGAGGTAGTGCAGAAAAGATACAAGAGCTGACAAGGAAGTGCAT